CCACCCCATCAACTAAACCACCTGAACCTCCATGACTCATTGCCTTTGCCCTCTTCTTCGCTTCCCTCCTAGCCCTCATGTCGGGTTTTCCCTAACACTCACACTTCCACGTGACTTTGATTTTTTTTGGGTCCCCCGTCTTAGAATTTACACCTTGAGCCCTTGTCACTCCAAACCCCATCTGCTCAGCATAGTCCTTATAGTAGGCTTCAACCTGTTGCCAAGACTGGAAAACCATCCCTTCCTTAGGCTCCTCAACAACTACAGCTATTTCGTTGCTACCAACCACAGTGTGAGTCGTATGAATTGTTTCCAGGGGGATAAATACCTAACATCCATGTCAAATGCACAACTACCTGCATCATCTACATCTTCTATATCCTCCTCCATATGGACGTTACTCCGAAACTTAACTCCACTGCCACAATCACCAACACCAATCTCACTACCCCTTATAACGCTTTCTGTTTCCATTTCCATAATATCAATCTTCTCCAACAAAAACAATTAACCCTTCAAATAAAGAACGCCAACATAATTACTACGACAACAATTAATACAGAACGCCAACATAATTATAATATAAAATTCAACACAAATCAACCAAACAAGTTTTCACAGCACACATTCAACCCAACACAGAAATATAACAAACCGACACAAATCGACCAACCAATTGAACAACCAACACAACTAATTTTCACATAACCTCACAAATCAACACAGGGATTTTTTAAAAAACATACGAAGACAACACGTTTTCAAAAACTAAAAAATTACATTTTAAACAAAATCCTCCGGCCATTTCCGTCAACCTCAACCCCGTTTTAACAGAGGAAAAAGTCCTTAAAATCCAATTACATTCAAAACTATTCCGATTGCAGTCGAGATTATGAGCTCAATTTCATGAATTGTGGGCGCATGACAACAACAGAAAAAACTCACGACTGCAACATGCGACGCTTAATTTGATCGGAAAAATACCTCGTAATTCGAAGATGTCCGTGTGGTTTTCAACTGGGTCTGTTTACTAGGTCTGGAAGCTGTACAAAACGGCGATGAGTGAAGACCGGAAAACTACCTGCTAATTCTTTGAATAAGCTTCTGGGTATGGAAGCTGTGAATATTTTCCCGCCAAAACGTCAAGAAGGTAACGCCATCCAACTGATTGACGGAAGGATGTCCCCCACTCAGCAATACTCCAGGTACAGTCAGCAACTTGACACATAGACGAATCCAACTCAACAACTCAGGAAGTGGAAAACTTCCACTTAATTTCCGAAATGCCACTGTGAGTAACAGGGATTTAGTCATAAATAAGGTGATCAAGAAAATTGTTTTTGACAGAAGCAGGTGAAGCAACAAGGAGAATATGAGTCACTTCATCAGGACGTGATGATTGGGTTTGGGAGTTGGGAATTTATTCCGATGAACCAAACAAATCCCTTTGAACAAAAACAAGGATCAATACATTTATGACAAGGTGATGAGGATTTCCTTGTACCTGTCACATTGCAAAGATACATTACCCAAAAACTTCCACAGATTCAATACATTACTAGGGGCAGGACATTTATTTCCGTATGCAGAAGGTATGGCTGGAGTTATTCTCATATCAATGCTACTCGGTGAAAAGTAGAAATCTAAGTCACCATGATTGCATTAGTGCGTTTTGGAAAATAATTTTACTAATTTAGTCGCTTCTTTCATTGAGTACATGGTCATGTTGTTTATATTAGGTTATCAATAGTTTCTTGAAGTGTAATACCATAAAAGTTATAAGCTTTCAATGATAGCAAAATCTATTGGTAATTGCACACTAAACCCAAAAAGGGACAGCAATGTGACCTAAAAAGCTAACTGATAAGGCATCTAATAATATTACACCAATGAAGCATGTATGTTTGCCTAATTAATATATAAATGATAGAAAAATATACTTTGATTCATTCATTTTGGATATTTTGATATTAAACCCTATTTGTGTGATCTCAATATAAACATAACTTATTGTATATATTTGTAATTTTGTATGATCTCAATCCATTCACTATTGCAATATGATTTTCTTTCGTACTTTTTATGGTGATCAACTAAAGAGCTACACCCAAGTGATCTCCAAGATAAACTTGGGATGTTTATCTAGGGCTATTAATGTAATTTCTAGATGTTAGTAAGGGGTATGTCGGTAATTTGACAGTTACAGAATATTGTCTTATAACTGGTGTATTTTAGCCCCAAAAGCGTACGTCGTTAGGTTCCTAACCTTAACCATAGTTAATTTCCTCTGTAATTTCAATAACTTGGGTGTTGTCGTTTCATGGTCGTTGATTGTGTGGTGGGCAAATTGGGGTTCTCTTTTTGGTTGTTGTTACCCCATTGTTGTTTCCTCTAAACTTTTGTTGTTTCGTGATCGTGTCAGTTGTTCGAGTTACTCATCGGCGTTGAATTACAATCGACATTGGAATATTTTCGGCGGCTAAACCACCGAATTAAATGAAAAACCTAAGAAAAAAAAGGAGAAATAAATGGTATGATTAATCCTAAAGTGTAGGAAAGTTTTCCTTTCTCCATTGATTTCTCCATTAAAGCTGAATTTTTCTTTACTTGAGAGATTTCTCCATTAATGGCGAAACAAGTAAAAAAGTCTATAATGGCAGCAAAGATGGAGAAACTAAACAATTTTCTCTAATAATGGTGAAGCAAGCATGGAAAAATATGTAGTATGAAGTTCTCCATTAATGGTCAGTTTTAATAATTAAAGTATGGATACTTTCAATTGCCTTACCTCGCCTTAATTTAAAGTACTAACGGCACTGACGATGGTTAGTAAAAAAGTTCGTTGTTCACTCTGTCAAATGCCTTTTATCATGCTAGCTGGGTAATTGGTTTGAAAAATAATTTTTTTCTCTAATTTCGTGGATCTCAAGACATTTTTATTACAATTATGCCACTTGGTAAACGTTAGATGTAACGTTTATGAAGGAGATTAAATTGAATTTTCTTATCAAGTAAACCATAAGATTGATAATTTATTTTTTTTTAAATTCAAAAAAAAATTATACAAATTGTTATTTATATATTCATAGAACTCTTTCAATTTGTTTTTCAAAACTTTTTAAATTTCTTGAAATAACATGGGGTAATTTATTTTTTTTTCTTGAAATAACACCTTTTTCATCCTCTTCTTTTACCTTTCTTGTATTGTTTCTTTTTAATTCAAAAATGACAAGAACCTAACCCAATCACAAATTTTCTTGTATAATTGATTTTAAACAATTAAAGTTCTCAAAAACATAAATATACAATTGAGGATATGGAAAGATGAAACAATGATTAGTTTGTTTGTTGAACACTCGTACTATTTTTAGCAAACAAACTCTTAATTTGTCTTTGTTTCTTAAATTGACATGTATATGCTATATATCTTGTACATGGGAAAAAAAAAATTCCCCATAGGTATTTGAATGGTGTTTCATCTATATAACATTAGTAGAATTGATTTGATAATAAGTGTTTTATTATAATAGTGTTGTTATATGCACATATTCTGATTATCATAAATACTACTAATAATACAAACATTTTTTTTTCCTAATGTACGAGAGATGGTTATATGCCTTTTTCTAACTAATCTATGTTGTTTTTGAAATTTCGTATAGTATTCTATTTAAATGCTAAGCATACATGTAATGTAATTATGTAATAAACCATGGATTTATGGTATTGTTTAGCAAGATTGATGATTAATGAAAAATGCATTAAAATCGAAACAAAGAGTTTTAACTAGCAAAGCCATTATTATGATAGGGTAATTTTTTTATTATTATTATTATTATTATTATTATTGTATTTTGAGTTTTCCTCTACGTCTTTTTTATTTTTGGAAGATTACAAGTCATAATAAAATGTCCAACACCAATATTTATAGATGAAAATTCACCAATTTTGTAGAAATATATGGAAACTCATATTATTAAGCAAAATTGTTTTTTATTTTTTAAGGAAAATGCTATACATAGCCCACACATTACCCTTTTTTAAATAAGCTTTTAGGGGCATTTTATGTAGACCATAATTTGGGCATCAAATTTTTGTTATTCCTCCCCCCATTCTCTTTTGCAATAGCCAGAGATAAACTAATATCCCATTACCTCTCTTTTTATAATTTTAATTACCAACAAATCTCACAAATATAATATTTTAACCTATCTACACTAAAAAAAAATTAACAAACTCAGCTCAAACACCCAACATTCCACACATTTTAATATATTATGTAAGTGCGTGGATTTTTTTTTTAACTAGTTATGGACCCGCGCGTGTTGCGTGCGGTTTCCCAAGTTATCGGGATTAGTTGTTAAGTATTAATCATTTGGCAATAATAGAAAGATTATGGTGGGATAGTTATAATTTGTAGTGTGTGTATGTACTTATGTATGCAGCAATATTGTGTATTAGTTACGAGTATGTGTATAGGTATTTAATTGTTGAGTTTTTAACATGATTGTTTAAGTAACTGTTTTGTTCAAGTTTTACTTATTTCAAAATGTTTCAAGATATTTGAGTGCTTGTGTTGTTAATTTGTACGTGCGTGGTTAAGTACTAAAAATAAATTGATTAGTTCAATATCATCTTACAATGTCGTTTTTTAAAGGATTGAATTTGAACTGTAATTGTGGTACTAAAATATAATATATTTATAATTCAGGAGATATTTATGTTTTTATAAAAAAATATATAAGGCTGGATTTTGTGATAATGAAATCTAATTGTTGATATGGTTGGTAAATTCAAAAGGGATTCAATGGAGTCCATGGACCTAAGTATTGATTTTAATATAGTTGGTTGCTTGTTGGTTCCAATCCTTATTTTTACTTTCCCAGATGACCAATACGATGAGCCCATGGACCTAAGAGTAAGGTCATTAGATGACCATAATATTTTGGTCATGAAATTTTTAGGTTCCAATTATTTATTATTCTTCTGTATTTTACCTTACCAGTCACCAAAGTTTATAAGCACTCTCATTTTTTTTATCCCAATGGTTGCCCAAGAAAGTTTGGTCATGAAAGTTTGGTTGACCAAAGTGTCGTATTTTCTTATTTCTCCTCACCCTTTTTCACGTGAACTGTTATTCGTCGTTCGCAAATTACAGGATGACGCTCCCATTTTTATGTGTATTGATTATTTTGCCCTTGATTGTTTTAATTCCATATAAGGCTCCACCATGACTCACTTTAGCTAGTAAAAAGTTTAATATTATTCCCGACCCCCCACTTGTCTTTAAAAAATCCCGACCCACCAAAAAACCCGAGACCACCATTGTACGGTAATTCCGACCAATTTTTAAAAAATCCCGAGTGTGGTAGTTGGGGCCCACTATTCACGATGAGCGACGACAACTTTAATACGCCGGAGCAGTCGTCGGAAGAATCTGTAAGTCGTAGTTTTTAATTTTTTTTTTTTTTGGACTTCCGCCCATTTTTTCCGGATCCCAGGGGGGAGATCCGCCTAAAAAATCCAGAAGATCCTCCAAGGATCCGGAAATTCTAAGCGGATCCCCACATACACCAGGAATTTCCGGATCCCAGAAAGATCTTCCGGATTTTTTAGGCGGATCTCCCCCATGGGATCCGGAAAAAATGGGCGGAAGTCAAAAATTTCGGTTTTTTTTTTTATTCTTTCAAAATTCATAACATTATTTTTGCTGATTTTTTTTGTGAGTATTATTATATTGTCTTAGTTATTATTATTATTAATTATTTTTATATTTCTAATGTTTTTGTTATTATTATTATTATTATTAGTATTATTATTATTATTATTATTATTATTATTATTATTATTATTGTTATTGTTATTGTTGTTGTTGTTGTTAGTACGTTTATTATTATTATTATTATTATTATTATTATTATTATTATTATTATTATTATTATTATTATTATTATTATTATTGTTGTTGTTGTTGTTGTTGTTATTGTTATTGTTGTTGTTGTTGTTGTTGTTGTTAGTGCGATTATTATTATTATTATTGTTATTGTTATTGTTGTTGTTGTTGTTAGTATGATTATTATCATTATTATTATTATTATTATTATTATTATTATAATTATTATTATTATCGAATTTTTTATTTTTATTTTTATTATTATCATTTTTGTTATTATTCTTATTATTGGTATTATTATTATTATTATTATTAATATTGTTACTGTTGTTGTTAGCATGATTATTGTTATTGTAATTACTATCACTATTGTTGTTACTATTATTTATATTATTATTTATATTATTATTTATATTATTATTATTAAGGTTGTTATTATTAGTATTATAGTTTTTTTATTAATAAAAATATTAGTATTATTATTAAATTTATAATACTAATATTTGCCTCATTTGTTTGGTTTATTGTTAAAGGATTCGGAGGATGAAGAAGGCGGTGACGGGGTGGATTATAGTACAAATTTCGTGACTGACGAGGTTTTTCGAACGTTTGATGAAGCAGTTAGTTGGGCGGATGCTGTTGCAATAAATCTGGGATTTATTTTGGTGAAATCGTCTTTCAACAGACAGAGGGATGGTCGACCATATCGATATTTAAGATGTGATCGAGGACGCAGGAGTAAGCCGAGAGATCTTGAGAACGCAATAAGGAAGGACACGAAAACCAAAGCCAATGGTTGTCCTTTCTACATCAAGATATCTTACAATTTTGTTGACGACTAATGGTTTATCACGGCGAAAAATGATGTAACTGGGACCCACAACCATCCAATGATTGCGTATCCAGAGGGGCATCGTAAAATAAGCGGGTTAAGCCCGGAAGCGAAGCAGGTTGTGTGTAACATGACCAAGTCTAAGGTAGCACCGCGTAACATCATGGCGACTATTGCCGAGCAATTTCCTCAGGATCATCTAAACATCAGACACATCTACAACTGCCGAAATGACTTCAGAACCGAGATTTCAGATGGGAGAGGAGTTGTTCAGCAGTTTCTACATTTGGCTAGACAGAGTCAGTATGTGTACAGGGTATTGTCTGATGATAATGGCATTTTACAGCACGCCTTCATGGCGCATCCAGTCATGATAGACATCCTACGGACGTACCCGTATGTGATCGGTATGGATTCCACATACAAGACCAACCGATACGGAATGTCGTTCTTTGAGATAGTTGGTGTGACACCGACAAATCAAAATTTCCTCGTCGGTTACGTCTTCATGCGCAACGAGTGCACGGCCAGCTATCGATGGGTTTTGCAGAGATTGAGAGACTTGATCGGGTTTGATAAGGAACCTTTGGTTTTCTTGACTGATCGTGAGCTGGGGCTAGTTGCGGCATTGAGGGAAGTGTTTCCAGGGACCTCGCACTTACTTTGTCGATGGCATATTAACAAAGATGTTGAGGCTCGTGTCACTGATATGTTCAAAAGCAAAAAGGTTGGTGCGACATTCAAAAACGGGAGATGGAAACGTGTGATGGACGCTGCAACCGAGGAGGATTATGAGGCTGCTGTAGAGATGATGAAACTGAAATGGGCAAGTTATCCAAAGGTGATAGAGTATGTTGAGAGGACTTGGCTTTGTCATAAAACGAAGTTTGTGACATTTTGGACTAACCAAGTTCTTCATTTTGGCAACACAAGCACATGTAGAGTTGAGAGCCAGCATTCGGCCGTCAAGATGTGGTTTGATTCTTCGACAGGTTCGTTTTTTGGTTGTTGTATTTGATGTATGTATTTTGTTGTATTTATGTTTGTTGTGAATAATAACGGTTTTTTGGTAATGTGCATGTTCTTTGGATACCGTATGGGCCCGAGTTCATTGTCACATTGATAATCAGATCATCGCTATTCGTAATGATTTGGAGGCATCTAGGTCGAAGATTGGTCAGAAGTACCGACAATTGCCATTGTCACGTATTAACGGCAAGGTGTCTCAGCATTGTTTGAAGATTCTCGACAAGGAGACGAAAAGGATGAGGGATCTGAGTTATCAGGTGTATGAGCGTTGCGGATGTGCATTGCGGGTGACCCATGGTTTGCCATGTGCTTGTCAGATACATGAGTCTTTAGCTCTAGAGACGGGCTTGTATAGTAGGCAAATTCACCAGTTATGGAAGACTTTGGTTATCGGCAATGGTAATGACGGAACAACGTTCGGTAATGATGCGACCGAGGACGCCACACATTTTCGAAATCTGATGGACGAGGTACTTGGTAGTGACAATGCTGTTCTACGAAATGTGACACGCATCATTGAGGAAGAGCTACATCCGGATCATGATAACCTCCAAGAACCTCATATCAACCATAGGGTGCGTGGTCGACAGAGGAACAACGATACAAGACATGATCGGTCTTATTTCGAACATGTGAATCGCCGAAACAGTCACTCTGGTCAACGACAAGGAGGTATGATTTTGGTATTGTGGGTTTAATCGTTTTTCATGAGTTCTTGTACTAATAACTGAACCCTACATATTTGCAGAAGATGAATCAGACATCACCCAAAGCCGGTATCGACACTTAATTCCCGGACCGATGTTGCCTTTCATCACAGGGTGGAAAGATGTCATTGGCGATGGTAACTGCGGCTTTCGTTGTGTCGCCGAGTTCTTCTTTGGTGATCAAGGCCGATGGTATGACGCTCGAGAAATAATCGCTAACGAGGTCCTTGGTTATCCATCCCTGTACAAGAGGATCTACGGGCTTGGAAGGCTTCAGATAAATGTGGAGCGTATTCGATGTGACGGTGGGGCGGTTGATGCTCGTCATTGGATGGTTGCAATTCAAGATTTATTTCCCATTGCTACTTGGTTCAACGCAATGGTTATTATTCTCGGTGTAGGCACCGTACCAACGTGCTTGTACCCATGTCTCACTATCTTGCCGTTGCGGGCTCGAAGAGGAGTCACGGCACCACAACGGGAGTTTGTCATCGCTACAGTTTCTGCGTCACATTTTATATTGCTTGAACTTGCACCAGATTCCCCACTTCCCCCTATTGCAGGTTGGTGGACCGAGAACCTCGAACCAAGTGTTGAAGGTTGGGATCACCGTTATGTAGCTAGAAGGAACATGTGGGATGCGTTAACTAGAAAATAAAATTATTGATGTAACACACATGTATGATGATTAGTTGTAGAAATGTAATTCGTAAAGAAATTAACTTAACAAAACAAAGTTTCAACAACAAAACAAAAACAGTTGTTCAGTCCTTAAAGTACATGACGAATAAATACAAAAAAAATCAAGTTTACAACCCCATCATCGCCCTCCAGTCAGCTCGTAGCGCCTCAGCCATTACTCTTGTATCCTGCGACAAGCTCGGATACTCCTCCAGTGTCCTGTTGATGACCTCCATGGACCGACCCATCCACTGCAATTAAAAAACAACATATTAAATAAATCACACGTTTTTCTAATCATAATTACACATCATAAAAACACAAGTTCTTACGTAATCCGTGTTAGTTCTCTCTGGCAGTGTGCGACTCTCATGCGATGACGCAACTGGAGAAACACGAGGATGAGAAAATCGGTATAGCCACTGCATGTACCCAGGACCGACCGTAGGACCACCACCACCAAGTCTGCTCAGGGCACATAACACCACACTGAAAGACATACCGGGAACAAACCGAGTCCACATCATAGATGTCATCTCTGACGGAAATTCAACTCGATACATCTTCAAGTTCGTCGGCCTCCTTGCCTTCTCAGGCCTGATGATGGCTGGGGGAATGCCCTGAACGTATCCAAGCTGTCGAACCACTCGATCAGGCATATATGGCTCAATGATGCTACGATACTGGATGCAGCCAATGAAAAGAGTAGCAGGCACGCGTCGTGCTGGATCAACTCGGTACGGTAGCCAGTTCACCTCATTGTCAGTCAGATGATCCAACCTAGCACGAAAAGCGAGGAGGCGCTCCATGCTCTTGTTGGGGCACCCCGATCCGACATCCCAGGCGGACGCTCGCGGAACAGTAAGCTCTCTGGTCAAGGTCCCCTGCTGAGGCCTAAAACACGGGAAGTACTCGTAGATCCATGCCTGCAGAAGCGTAAGACAGCCGGCGATAGAATCAACATCTTTTCGTGACGCTGTACCCAACTGCCGGTACATGTATGCTAGCACAGCGGAACCCCAGGAGTAGTCACTAATCTGACCGTCCTCAACAAACAGCTCGGTGAGGAAGGAAGGATGAGTACGGTTTCCACTCTTGTCCAGAAACAAACATCCGCCAAGAACTAACCACAGGTACGCCCTATAATGGAAACTGAAGGGCCTCTGCGCCTCCAAGGTCGACTCCACGATCCTATCAGTAAGCACCCCACTTCCCTGCCACACGGTTTTAGTACCGCACTTCTCATTCAGCTCTTCCGCAGTCATATCCAAGGTAATCGAGCACGCGTCACGTAAAACGTCCGTGCTAGGAGTAGTGGAAACCATGGAACCGTCGACACGGAGCCCTAGAATATGATACACGTCATGCAGCATGATCGTGATCTCCTAAAATGGCATGTGAAACGAGTTCGTGTCTGGCTGCCATCTCTCAACAAAAGCAGAAATCAGGGGCCAGTCAAATCGCCAAAACATGATCCCGGGTAAGTGAGATAGACCACTGCCATCAATCAGTTCCAGGTGCTCCTGCGGAAGACGAGCGCGCCAGTTACCCAACTCAGTACACAACTGTGTCCTGCTCAAACACCGCAGAACATTTCTCTCCTGCCCACCCCATAGATATGAAGCCACGTGACCCCCAAAACTAGGAATGGCAGTACCATCCTCAGGCCCACCTGGCATCGGCCCCCGAACCACCCACGACTCAGACGAGCTGGTAGAACCTTCACCTGGTTCACTACTACTACCATATCTCCCATGGTCACCCCTATACACAGTACGGTAATCCTGAGGGTCGTACTCTGAATCTCGACTAGCATAACTAGCTCGCTCATCGTCGTCCTCTTCGTTAGATACAGGAACTCTACCCGACGAGTACATGGGGGCGCTCATGTCTGACTGATGCTCCCCCGAACAAGTACGAGCAGACCCGTACTGCTGCTCACGGTGAAACGGTGCCTCCGAAGGTCCTGCACCACCTAACTCCCTCCTCACTGATGCATTCAAACGTCTCGATCTTGCATGTCGAGCGCTCGAACCCTCAATCTGCATTAAATAAGTAGAAAATATAATTTCATTAATACTTACACACACAACTATGATATCAACCTTGAATCGTTAATATTCCAATTCCAAAATAATAGCAACAATACATAACAATTACCATAAATGAAAAAACAAATTACATAAACATAACAACATTACATAACAATAACAATAAATGAAAACAAAAAATAAATAAACATAACAACAAATAAAAAAAATAAACATCACAACAATGCATAACAATAACAATAAATGAAAAATAAAGTAAATAAACATAATAATAACAACAATACATAAAACAAAAAAAAAAAACAAAACTAAATATAAATAGCTTCATCAAACAAAAGAAAAAAAAAAGAATAAACAAACACAAACAAATTAAAAAAAAAATAACCATCACCAAACAAAAGGAAAAAAAAACAAAACAAAATATAAATAGCTTCATCAAACAAAAGAAAAAAAAAATAAACAAACACAAACAAATTACAAAAAAAAAAAACCATCACCAAACAAAAGAAAAAAAATAAAAAAAAAAACAAAACAAAATATAAATAGCTTCATCAAACAAAAGAAAAAAAAAAGAATAAACAAACACAAACAAATTACAAAAAAAAAAAAAACCATCACCAAACAAAAGAAAAAAAAATAAAAAAATAAACAAAAAACAAACAAAGACAAAATACAAAAAAAAACAGCTTCACCCAAAAAAAGAAAAAAAAAATCAACAAAAAAAACATAAAAAAAAAACAAAAAAAGAAAACACCTTCAGCAAACAAAAGAAAAGGAAAAAAAAAAAAAAAAAAAAGGAAAACCCAGAACTTCCGCCTGAAATTTCCGGAAGTTCCCCAGACTTCCGGAAATTTCAGGCGGAAGTCTGGGTTTTTCAGAATTTTTTTTTCCTTTTAAATTACAGCAGCAAAGAACGTAATACCAACCTGCTCGCCGCCGGAAATGCCGCCCCCACGACCACCGTACGTAAGCCTAATGCCTCTCCCGTCCGCCATACCCGGATTCTTGCTTTGATTGGTTTTCGTACGTTCTTCGTTTGATTTTCAAATTTTTGGTTTTTTTTTGAAAATAAATTTCTGATTTTTTTTTTCCTCTGAATTTTTTTTTTTTCTGAATTTTTTTTATTTAAATTCTTGCCTTTTTTTTAGAGAGAGAAAGTTTGAGAGAGAGAGTGTCGGGGTTGAGAAATGACTTGTGAGTTTCGTAACTCGGTTTTCCAAGTATTTATATATGAGGGGCAAATTAGGAAATTCAATAAAAAAATGCGAGCGTCACCTTGTAATTTGTGAACGACGTTTAACAACACCCGAACTTTTTTCTTATCCCTCTCCCTCACCCTTTATTAAAATTATTATTTAGGAAGAAATCAACCTTACACGCAAAAATGCTTTCTTAATGGGTAATGCAACCTAATAATGCAAGCCACTATAATGTAATGTTTCTTTAATACTTTTGGTTTAGGAATAAGTGATGAGAGAGAAAAGCGGTGTGATTAATGGAGTGATTATGAAAGTAAAGGTGTGAACTCATACATCTAAAAAAAGAATGAGGCAAAATTAGAGCGGTAGACTAAAAAGGAAATTGGTGCAAAAAATAAGAGACAGAGGAAGTATGATATAACAATTGTGTATAACAACATAAGTGTTGTCAATTGATAATTTTCTACATGAAATTGGTTCTTGAAAAATCTTAGAATAACATTAAGAAAGAGTATTTGACATTCAGAAGCATGAAGCTATGAAACTTAAACTTGTTCACAATATGTTAAAATATGTTCCAATAATACAGGGGACAAGGGGTGCTCTTTGCAAGTGTGTAGGCACGAACAAAATTATTCATTCGTAAAGGACAAGGTAACAAATTAACAATTGCATCCTATAGAATTTTATAGCTATCAAAATTCTGTAGTTGTAGCATCAAAGTAAAGGAGAAAGTATCAATCTTATGCATTGATTCTGTTGTTCATAACAAAAGAACCATATCAAAATTCTGAAATGCATATATTTAAGAAAAACCCAAATTCATGATCAAACTAACTCACGATAATAAAAATTAAAAAAAAAAAAAAAAAAAAAAAAAAAAAGAATTTCTTCATTATTCTATTCAAATGCAAAAAAGAAAGCGATTAGACATTTTGAATGTTCCAAAATTCAGAAAGTAGAATAGTACTTCCCAATATTTTGAAATAACCAAATAAGATCACCCTAAGACAACTATGAGCATAATAGACTCGAAACTCGAGTACTTTATAGATATCCACCCGTCCATGTCCTTACTAACCTGAAGAGGTAATTATCCAGATTTACCCGTCATATTACTGCACTCTTTCATATCCTCTGCATTGTCATGTAAATATTATCCTACATTAGTTGATAATGATATGCATTCAGTCTCAAAATAATCGTATAAAGATGAGTTTTACATTTGACTTCAGAGACTTTGTAATGGAAACCCATTAAAGAAAAGTACAGATTGTTTTCCTCAACTTTGTTCTTACGGGGACAATACATAGTCACGTAGCTAATATCAAATGCCTAATCCTCAAACTTATAGGATTTTCTATTATTATAGGATAAGGCAATTTCATTGTCAATAAGAATTCAAACCGCAATGACAGTCTATAGATGACAGGAGTCTCAGAAAATCAACCTTGTAATAGCATCAACTCACAAGAAGGCGAAGATAATTAATAATCATGATTTTTTATGATTGTATGTCATCTAAGTTTTCGAAATTGTTTAGTGTATTAGAATTCTTAGCCGCAAAGTTAATTAACCTTAACCCATTATACAAATTGCTTTACGACAAAAGTACTCCCTCTAAGAATAAGGATGTATATTGTTATCTTAAAAGCCAATTCTTTAAAAATTGTTAGATATTCGTTATGAAATTGATCAAATAATTTTCCGGTTTTCCTACATAAACCGAGAAATTTAACATACCCCATGAAAAATTTGAGCAGGAATTCACATAAACAACTTCAAAAGAACAAGTACAAACCAGAAAAAAAAAAAAAAAAAAAAAAAAAAAAAAAAAAAAAACGCAATCAACAGCAAAGCAAGCAAAAACGGCCACCTTCATTATTGAAAAGCCAAAGGGCAGCACCAACAGCAGTCAACAGCCATAAAATTAAATTAAAAAAAGAACTTACCTCTGCTTTGGATACTCAAATTGATAAGATTAAAGTAATTGACAACCATAAAATACCATCATAATTAATGAATTAAACTCTAAGCAAGCACATTAAATTTTGCAACAAATGTTAAAGGACATAAAAATGGAATAAATCATAAAATTCCAATAAGAAAAGAATAGACAATGGCATTTTATAATATATTACTCCCTCGGTAACAACAGACCTCCTAAGGCAACATGGCCAACATCCGTATTGGTTGCTGGTTGCTTCTCTCCTCTAATTGTATAAACTCTACGCTACTACTTTTGAACACATCTTAGGATCCTAGGCTCTAGTATGATTCTTGATATGATTGACCAATGACCATACTACTCAAAAAGGCCAAATTAATCAAGCCTATAACTCCTAATTCATTAGATTACTACTTGGAAACCAAAAAATTTCAAGCTCATTATTTCAAATTCACCACTCAAAAGCCCAAAATAAATAAAACCCATAATTTCAAATTCATCGGATTACAATTCCAAAACTTAGAAATCAACCAAATTTATCAAACTAGCACTGTCAAAAACCGAACCGAACCGGTGAAACCGAACCGATTCAAACCGATCCGAATGAGAACCGAACCGATTAAAAACCGATTTTTTGAAACCGAAAACCGACCCGAACCGCATTTTAGTAAACCCGAAACCGAACCGATCCGAGTAATGTTAAACCGTTTTAGAACCGAACCAAATCTAAACCGAACTGGAAAGGAAACCGAACCGAAAATAAACCGAACCGTTTCTAACCCGAAACCGTTTAAACTGGCATAAAAACCGTTATAAACCGAACGGTTATAAACCGAACCGTTTACAAACCGAACCGTTTACAAACCGAACCGTTTATAAACCGGACCGTTTATAAACCGAACCATTTATAAACCGAACTGTTTATGAACTGAATCCTTATAAATCGAACCGTTTACAAACTACTTACTACTAGGAGTGGTTATTGGGTTGGTCAGTGTGGGTCGATGCAGATCATTTACGAAGTGAGTCGGTTGCAGGTCAAGATGAATATTTAGCGGGACATAAATAATAACCAATAACTCGAGATAAAAAAAGGAACAACATATCAATATGTAATGTGACTAAAACTATTAATACTTGTTCTATGAGATTAAAACATTTTAGCAATGAAGCAACACAATATATATTAAGCATCACTAGTTCACTACAATACAACATCCATGTCTTCTTAATTAGATGCAAAACTTTCATCTATCACTTCTTTACCAATTTCAAGGACGTCTTCTTCAATATCACAATCATAACCACGTAACCAATTTTGTGTGGTCACAAACGCCTCAACATTCTTAGACAAAAGCGCACTCCTATACTTGTTTAAAATACGACCACCCATGCTAAAAGAAGACTCTGAGGCTACCGATGTAATAGGAATGGCCAAAACATCCCTAGCCATAACAGCTAATATGGGGTACACACTACTTTGAGATTCCCAATACTTAAGAACATCGTACTTCTGCCCTTCATAAATTGGTTGTCGAGGAGTACACAAATAAGAATCAATCTCCATCGATGGCCGATTTGATGTGTCATCCTCCTCATCATCATCATTAGCAACATACTAGAAAAGTTCAAACAAAATGCTTTTATTAAATAATAAAATTAAAACATAAAATTATTAATTTTGTAAACCACAATACTCAGAAATTGATTACCTTGAATATATCATCATCCAAGTGACTATTTGAATTTTCGATAACAGCTGGGATGGAGGGTGGAGCATTTGTACTTGATGTAAAACCGGAAGACAAAGAATAATAAAAGTTATACAACTCCAAAAGAGCATCTTTAATCACCTTCGCCTTTTCAACACATGCCTCATCAACATAAAGCACTTTTAACATCTTCATCACTCGAACAAGCTTATAACGAGGATCAAGAACAGTAGCAATTGATAGGATCAAACTATATTCATCCCAATAGCCCTCAAACTTTTCAAGCATAACTTTTGCCATGGATGCAAGTTTAGGATCTATATGGGCTTTACTTATTGTGTGCTCAATTTTTAAAACACTAGCAAAATACAAATTTGCAGTAGGATATTCTGAACCAGAAAATAACACAGTGATTTCATGAAATGGCTTTAGGAAATTACATATTTTAGTAAGGGTATCCCATTCATCATTCGAAAGTTTGAATTCATAACCTATAAACCTATCAATAACCAATTTCAAGGCTTCCTTTGCTTCCAAAGCTTTTCGAATCATCGTATATGTGGCATTCCAACGAGTCACAACATCAAGACGTAACTTTCCATTAAACACACAGTTAACCTCATGAAGAGCATGCTCAAATTGAGTGAGTCTAGAATCTGAAGAATCAATATATTTACAAACCTCACGCAATTTTTGAACACTACTATCAACTTCTTTTAAACCTCTTTGAACAATAATGTTCAAGACATGAGCTGAACATCGAATATGAAAAAATTTACCATTACAAGGAAGAGGAGAAGTCAACATTAAATCTTTCTTAAAAAGGTTAACCATAACATCCATGGATCGAGCATTATCAACAGTCAATGCAAAAGCTTTACCCTGAAGGTTCCACTCCCCAATAAGTTTTAACACAAATTTTTCTACCTCAACACCAGTATGAGGAGGACCACAATATCTAAAATTCAGAATTTTAGACCTAAGACACCAATTTTTATCAACATAATGTGCCGTTAAAGTAAGATAACCTCGATTAGTACATGCTGTCCACAAGTCACAAGTGAAGCTAACTCTACCTTCAATTCCCGAAAAAGATTGCAACAACAAAGACTTAAACTTATCATGCTCATCAATAC